GCCCCAGGAGCCCCCTCCCAGCCCAGGGAGCCGGCGCCCACTGCAGAGCCGCGGGCCCGGGGACTGGGAACTATATATACCCGGGCACACGTGTGTGTGCCTGTCTCTGTGTGTGCGCGCGCATGTGACACCGCGCGGACTGCTCCGCGCTGCTACCTCCCCCATGTGCACGGCCGCCCCCTGGGGCCCGGGATTGGACGCCCCTTCCCACTGCTGTTGTCCCCCAAGCCTGATGGGATCGCACGAGTGGGCGGGGGAGGGACTTATGATTCTTGCCAAGCTGACAGTGCCCCCTCCCCCGCCCCTATTTCTTCAACCTTCCTGCCGTTTTAACCCTTTACTCTCCTGCTTGTCAGGTTGCCTGACCACCAGGGTTCTGCCCCTGGCTTCCTGCCTCAGATTTCAGTTTCCCCAACATAGAGTGCGTGAGAATGGAACTCAAGGTCTCTGCCTGCCACTCTGCTGGTTTCCATGGGGTTGGGGTGCAGGAGGGGCTGGCCCACGGCTGGGGGGCTATTTTTAGCGGCAGTGGCTGTTCGGGTGCAGAGATGAGATGAGTAACCAGCTCCCATGCGGTGGAGAGAGGAGGCGGTGGCTTTCACCAAGCTTTTGTGCGACTCTGAGGGAGAGCTGCCTTCCCTAAGCTCAAAAAGGGTGACCCCTACACCCGTATCTCCTCGCCAGCTCAGTGCTGCAGCCTAGGACTGCTGGTACAGCAGGACACAGGCGTGTGCCTTGGCCACCCAAGCTGCCCTACCAGTCCCATTCTACATGTTTGTCCTTGGGCAGCCAGGGAGCCCTCCCACAGCAGCAGGCTTTCACCTCCAATTTAGAAGCAGGATTTGGGGGTTATATTGTTCTGTGCCCACACAGCCTGCCCAGCTTTATGGAGGACAGAGTAAGTGCTTATGCACTCTTACCCTTCCAGAGGGGGATGGAGGAGAGATGGTGTGTTTGCTTGGCAAAACTAATCCCCTAGCAACTGAAATGATAAAAGTGGCCTTTTTTTTTTTTTTCCCCAATGTAGAGCTCCCCCTCACCACCACAATTGCCTAGTTCACTCAGCCCCCACCTGAAGTGGTGCTCCAGATGCTCACCTTTGGGCTGCCCCTGTCCTGGGGGGCTGTTGCTTACATCCACATGATCCCTCCTCCTAAGCTTATACCAGGTGTCCCCTGATTCACCATGGTAATGTTAGTGGCAGCACAGCCCACGCCAACCCTTCCATGCAGAGACTTAGCAACCATGCCTGGCAACCATGGCAGCAGCCTCAGTGGAGGGGAGGGGTGCAGAGAGGGGAAAGAGAGTGTGTGTGTGGCAATGGTTCCTCGGGAAGAAGGGATAATTTGCCTCTGGAGAGGAATAGGTAAGAATAGAAGCTTGTGAGTCTCCCAAATTTTATCCCTTGTCTCTCCCTCAGCTTCATCCTCACACTGAGACTGATAGGTTGGGTTTTAGGGGGAAATCAGAGAAGCAAGAGTTCCCAATTAGTTTTCCACTAATGTACATGGAGCCCTTTGGGTCCAGACCCTTCCTTTTAAGGGGATGGGGAACAACCAGAAAGGTTGTTGTGGGGCAGAGACTGACTGACTGAGAAACAGCTCAACAAAACCAGGCCTCTGCTCCCTAACACAAACCTTTAGAGAGAATGCAAACATTCCCTGTGCCATCCACCCTACCCCCCTTGATTCCACACACCTGCCAGCTGCACCGATGACTTGACTCGAAGGTGCTTCCTTCCACCCTAGGTCCCACTAGAATCCTGAGGCTTTTTAAAGCCCCTGCCTCCTCCCTAGGCAAATCTTCCTTAATGAGGGAATGTGACATAAGAGGCCATCTGTCCTTTCCACCATGTACTTACCCTCCCCACACATAAACATACTCTAATTCTAATAACTTGGAAGCCTTCCTCCCCCAGGTTTGAGAATGTGCTGTGAGAGCTGTAAAGGGGTGAAGGCTGAAGCAGGGGCTCCTCTACAGCCATGATGCAACACTGAAAGCTGAGCTCTGATGAGGGCCACTTTCTTTTTTTAAAATAAGCTTCCTCAGGTCGAATCTGATGAGGGCCTTGATGCTTTTCCCTGTGTTCCATTGGGAAGCCTAGTTTGGAGAACCCAGTATGCCGTGGCTGGAGGGTCATCAGAGGGGTTAGGCACTGTCAGGGAAGGGGTTAGCAGCACTGTGGGGGAAGGGGCAAGCAATGACTCTGAAATTGCTCCTGGTTTGGATGGGAAACTGTATCATACCTGTAAGGCAGGGGTGAGCTGGCACCCAAATTTAGCTCATACTCCAGTCTAGCAGTTCTGGTGTTGGGTGCTGACTGCTGTTTGGGTCTACATGGTTTCAGTACAGAGAATGGATCTGATGGAGTGACCAGTGCCCTGCTGTTCTCCCACCATCCAGCTCTGTCTCACCTTGGAAGAAAGGCAAGGGATTTGTAGGTTTAAAGATAGTGCCAGCGGGGTACGGTGGCTCATGCCTATAATCCCAGCACTTTGGGAGGCTGTGGTAGGTGGATCACAAAGTCAGGAGTTTGCGACCAGCCTGGCCAATATGGGTGAAACTCTGTCTTTACTAAAAAA